CTTCAGTTTTCAATCCCTTTCATTTATTCTATTATCTATGGTAACCTCAAATTTTCTGATGATGTGGGTGGGGTAATTAGTGGGTGTAGTCAATTAAGCCTGTATATGAATTCCTCAAGAGTAAGCCTCCTTTGTGGTTTACTGATTGTTTTCATCACATAAAAATTTATGAATCACATGTACTGTATGTTTCTGTCCTTTTCTCTCCCTCACTCAATCACTAACTTATTTTATTCCTTCCTTTTCCTTCTCCCTCCCTCTCTCCCTCAGTTTTTAATGATGGTCAATGGTCAGTGGGTCCAGTATTAGATTCATTTAATATTCCTTTATTGTATGAACAAATACTAAAAGAAAGAAGAAAGGAATTGATTGGAATTAATGAATGCATGACAGATAAAGAGAAGGAGCTTCAAGTTATCAATGAGTCTTTACGTCATGATCTTCAAGTGGCTAGAATTAACAACCAATCTCTTCAGGAAGCACTACTAGAGACTCAATCACTATCAGGTATGTGTACATGTATATTTACATGTATTAGTCATAGTGTATTTGCAATTTTGCATGCAAGTTCCTTCATTAATTGAGCAAAACAGTTGTGTAGTTAATAAATGCTATAGAAACTGATACCAATGAATTTATATTGTATATATTATCTTGAAACAGCAGCTACTAAAAATGAACTGTACAATGCATGATGTTTATATACATGTACATGTAGATGTAGTTTAATTTTTATTGGTGTTTTATTATAATGACACAATTTGATTGGTCAATTAAAACTGCATGTGGGAATAGTAATGTAGCAGTATACAATAGCGATAACTATTTTGAACTAGTATCTACAAACATGTAAAATTACTTCAGTATTTTCTAATTATTAAAATTTTTAGTCTCTAGTGCTGCTGCTCTACTTGAAAAAGATGAAATGATACAAAGACTTGAATCACAACTGCAAGAAACAAAGAGTTTATATTATAAAAAGGATGAAGAGAAGCAGTTTGTGCAGCTCACTAAAGGTGCATGTAATTGTATTATCCAGTTCTGCATAAATTATGTGATTAAAATCAGCTTTAATTTTTTATTACAATTTAATTGTTTTTCTTTTATTTAGCATCTGGAGAATACAAGGGTAAAGTCATTAAACTACAGGATCAGGATTTTGATGAAAAGATTCATTTAGGTCAGTAATGCTTTAAACCATTCTTCTAGCTATGA